GACCAATGGTGGTTGTTAGACGGACAATGGGTGGATCTTATCTAGTATGCGAGCTAAATGGAGCTATGGTACCAGGAAAGATTGGCGCATTCCGAGTAATACCCTATGAAGCCAGGGAGAAGATTTCTTTCTCAAAAGACATCAAAAAGATGATCGACATGTCAAAAGAGGAACTGGATGAGCTCGCAGAAGGCCGAGAGGATGTGGAAGGAACAGATTTGCAGTTTGGAGACATGGATCTTGACGACGAAGAGTCAGATTCTGAGAGCGAAAAGTCAGATGACGACGCTTAATGATGAGGATTACTTCGAATCGAAGAAGGAAAAGTGTCACAACGCAGGAATACATTCGTTCGAGGTGTGAATACATAGTACAGTTCAAGTAATGACCGGAACGGCTGATCTGGAAAGCCTTGGAAACGAGTGTGGGGGTATATAGTACTATGGGAGAAGGAATTTCGATGGAGCAGTAAGGGATTTACTTGCGGCCATGGGAAGGACCGTTGGGGGTGGCGAGACGAGCATTTCCGCGGATGATGGCCAAGTACTGGGACGGATCGCTGACAAGGAGAAGTCAGAAATCGAGCACTATGACGAGACTGAGAGGGACGGACGGAAGTTTGCTATCAACTTTCATGTTGCGGTCCTTCGCGAGGTCGAAGAGTGTTTGGTAGCGACGAGCGACTACTTCGTACGAGTCACGGGCATATGCCATACGCTGGACAGCGATGAGCACTTGCTGCTGAGCGAGTTCGAGGCAGGCGGTCAGCTGCTTATTGGTGATTCGGACTTCGGTTCCTTGTGCAAATTGATCAAGAAGTTCTTGAATGGTCTTGTACTCGAGGTCAGCAGGAGCGGAATCGTCAACCGGATAAGGATTGGTCAAAATCTGGGAAATTCAAGTCAGAAACTTCGAAATCTTGTCAAGGAAAAGTTACAATTCCGGCTACGGCAGCCGCGGGGATCTGCGAAGATGCGAATCAGCGATAGAAGGGACATCGGATAGAGTTTACAGACAGTTGGGAGGTCCTTGGGGTCTTTCTTCTTGAAAGATAGAGAAGAGATCGGCGCAGGGGTCTGGGTGGACTCGTCTATGAGCTCGGGAGAACTGGCCTTGTTGCGCTTCTTCTTAGAGGGACTCTTGTCGGTATCGCCAGAGCCTTCCTAGATAAGAACGCACCAAGTCAGGGAGATTGACGATGATAACGTTCGACTCAGAGTCGAAGAAGAGAGAACGAACCTCTTCTTCTTCATCTTCGGGTTCAGGGGGAACGCTGTCGCTGGAGTAAATCAACGTTCGAAGGAATATTCGGCAAGGATAATACCTTGTGAGACTGGTTACCGGTCGAAGAACGAGTGTTCTGGAGTGATGATGAGTTGCGGAGGAACTCTTCGACGGAGAAAAGTGAAACCGGAGTGTTCTTGGACGAAGATGTCTGTCACTGATAAGATAGTGTCGCTTCCGCATCTGGAAATGATATTACCTTTTTGGTATCAGGGGCCTTTTTCTTGGTATCCTCCGCCTTGTTGCGATGAGCCGCGAATGTGCGTGCGGAAGCGTCGATATGCTGCATATGGGCGATACAAGTGTTGGTGTCGCGAAGATGTTGATCGACTTTGGCCGTCCACTTGCCATCGTTGCGAATATTGTTCTGAATTGCATGGAGTTTTTGAAGCGCATGGGGAAGGTCTTGATAGATAAGCTGGCTTGCAGCCAAACGATCGCGGACCTCTTCCTCCTTGAGCTGGGGAAGCTACATTCGAGGATGAGTACCATTATTCCGACTAGGAAAAGTGATGACGCACCAAATACCGATACAACAAGTGAATTTTGCGAACATTCTCGTCGTTGGTACGAATGCGCAAGTCAGAGACGGTGGTTATGAACTCGTGAACATCGGCTTCGAGCTCTTCTGGAACTCCTTCCTCAGGTTCGCGAGGGGCATACATCGAGTCTGCCATTTTGTAATCAACGGGGGAAGTCTGGAGATTCAGCGCGTCAGGAATATGACCATTCTGTGAAGGAACAGATCGTACTGGTCGAGACTGGAAAGGAGCGAATGTCTTTGGATAGAGATGCGAGAGAAACTGGAATGGGTTGTCGAACCACGACATCTTTTATAGGCGATGGCTTATTGCTGGGACAGCAAGATCTTAAAAATGGGGGAGATGGGCTCAACGTGGTGCACGTTAAGGCACAACATAGAGAACATGGAGCGCAGCATGGTTGTGGACCGCAAAGCATGGTTCTCTCGAGAGAGCGAAACACTTTGGCGTTCTGGATCATGTTTCCACCCTCAAAGATATGCTGTTACCGACGATAATGCCACTTTCTTATGAAATACAAGCATGGAGAAGGATATACCCGGACCACGGCCTCATGCAGGACTGCCAAGGTAGCCTGATCGCAGTTTCTGGAAACGAGATCTTCGGTATCCACCAAATCTTCGAGCAGGAAAAGTGCCGAAACAGAGGAAATCAAGGAACAACACGCCCTTTGTGATTCAAAACGCTACTGTAACGACAGGAATGATTGTAAACGACGGTAACGACAGACGAGAAGTTGGATTAGGGGTTTGCAATGCTGAGATTGTCAGGCGACATGATCAGTAGGGCAAGGGTGGAAGGAGTGAGCCTGTGCGGATGGGCAGGTGGAGCAAGCAGGAGCGTCAGGAATACCCATTGGGATGGAATGGATCACCGGGGAATGATCTCCATGCTCAGGGATCGTTTTCCAGTGCGGGCCTCTCAGTGAGAGAGGATGCAGAGGACACGGGAGAGTCGATTGGGACGTTCATGATCGTAGTATGGCCATATTCGTTCATGAAATCGTTATCTTGGGTAAAACCAAAGAGCGATGCCTGACACCGCGTGCAAAGGTTGTAGGGAGTCGGGAAATCACAGAGCATGTCGCAAACCAAATGGCAGTTTGCAACAAAGACCAAGTCACCAGTTATTTGGCAATGAGCCATTTTCTTTGTACCCTAACCTCATGTTCGGCCTCAAGGCCCTTGAAAGAGCAATATATTCTTTGAGGTCATTCATTAAAAGGCTGCCAGTGCCAGTGCTCTTATTCCCCCGGGCCATTGCACCACAATTCCATGTCTCCTGCGACAGCGTACCGAAAGCGGAAGCAGCCCGACACCTCGGCAAATACCTCCCAGGGCCGTGAAAAGCGCGCTCGGCAGCCGGCAGCTGGTCCGAGTACTGCATCAGCATCATCTTCGAGTGCCACCTCTGCCCCTCAACCTGACCCACCAACCATTGTTCGGGCCCCGGCCGCCCGTCGTCGGCCAAAGGAAAGGAGTGCAAAGGATATTGAGGAGAAGACCGCAGTGAGTGATAACACAGTCATAAAGTCTATCATAACTTACTCAGCTCACCTCAGTCTGCCTTCCGACGCTGGGTTCGTGTCCTTTCCAGTGCTATCGGGCAGGATACAGCCCTTGGTCGAGCCACTGACGAAATCAGTTGGTTCGAACGCCGCCACATGCAAGTTGAAGATATGCAAGCTCACGTCGACCGTATCGTGGAGCAGAGCAAGGTGCCTGCTGCTGATGCAGCGCGTCGCGCAACACGAATTCTAGAGCTGATCAAGGACGCCAACCAAGAGTCTTCAGAGCGGCAAGCAAAGGGGACCAACGCAGGGGCACTTGGGCAGATTCCGCACGCATATCTTGCCCATGCATTCACCGCTGTTACATCTGCTGGTTTGCGCACATACCTTCCAGATGTGTTTGGACCGGCTCGCTCTGCTTACAATGAACTTCATTGTTTCATTGCCATTTCCACATTTCAATCCGCCGTTCGTGGCCTGGTATTTGTCGAACAATCTGTCTCATCATTCCTTGCGCAAGATAGTGTCTTCCTCAGCGACATTTTCTACAAGTTCTTGCATTGCACCTTGGGCCCCGATAGCCGAAGGCTGGAGAATGACCCGAACAGCCTGAGACTGGCTGCAGAGCTCGAAGCAGCAAAGAAGCGTCGTGATGGGGTGCGTATTGCATCTGTTTATCTTTTCACTCCTCTAATCTTTGTTATATAGTTATGTGGACGTCGTCTGGCATTTGCTGTGCGGAAAAAATTCCGCGCACCAGTGCTTCGCATTGTAGCTCAGCCTGCCTGTCACTCAGATGATGAGGTTATCCCAGCAGGACAACGGGAGCGCAATACTCATGCTCCGCGTGTCAGGGTACATCAGAAACCTGGTCGCCACCCAAGTGTTGGGCTGCTTTTCCGGAATATCGATCAGGGAATCAAAGCAGACTGGGATCAGAACCCTTCTGGCCGAGCGTAAGTAATATTCAGTCTTCTCTTCTACCTTCTTGCTAACCAATCTGATAGGCCACCAACTCGAAACACTGATAATTTATTGCCACCCAGCCGTCTCTCCCGTATTCTCCCTCCCGCCATTTCCTATGCCAAAGGCGAGAACAACGAAGAACAGCAACTAATTCTCCCCATCGACTACTTTGATCCCACGTTCTTCAATGCTATGGATTTGCAAAATCGTGCCAACTACTCGGACGAAGCAACTATTGCATTCCCCGATATTGCATACTGCCGTGGTGAAGATGGCTATAAACTGTGGAATAAGCTCAAGACATCAGTGTTCATGCACCAACACGGTAACGACATCTTGAAGCGCTACAACATTCCAACCGATGAAGAGATAGCAGCGGAGCGGGAGCGTCGGGACAGGGAGGCAGAGGGTGAAGAGGAAATCGTGGATTTCCAGGACTCTGAGGAAGAAGAGGGAGATGGGACCACTCCAGCGCCTCCACCTCCACCTCCGCCACCGCCACCACCACCACCAGCAGCTTAGTCAATTCTGTTCAAGACATTCAGTATATATCATTGTGTTCATTATACAGCCATAGTAATGCATTTCCACTTTAATCAGAGATACTCTATCGAGGTTGAATGAAAACAGGGCGGCTGTAGTTGAATGGGAGCCACTCACATATCTGCCAAAATAGGCAATCATCGTCGAGGTCATTCTCAACGATGGTCGCAGGTGGGGACGAGCGGGTAGTATCGTTTCGAAGGTAACACATGTCGGCAAAGGCCTGTGAAATATCTAAGGATTCGGACAAGGTTTGAGGGAACAGCGGCCACTCACCTAACTGCCAAAATAGGCAATCATCGTCGAGGTCGTTCTCAACGATGGCTGCGGATGGCGGCAGGCGAGTGGTATCGTTTTGAAGGTAATACATGTCGGTAGAGGCCTGCAAAATGTCTAAGGATTCAAACCAGGTTTGAGGAAACAGCGGCCACTCACATCTCCGACAAAATAGGCAATCTTCGCCGAAGTCGTTCTCGGCGATGGTCGCAGGTGGAGACGAGCGGAGAGTATCGCTTTGAAGGGGACACGTGTCGGCAGAAGCCTGTGAAATATCTAAGGATTCGGACAAGGTCTGAGGGAACAGCGGCCACTCACCTAACTGCCAAAATAGGCAATCGTCGTCGAAGTCGTTCTCGGCGACGGTCGCAGGTGGAGACGAGCGGGTAGTATCGTTTCGAATGTAACACGTGTCGGCAAAGGCCTGTGAAATATCTAAGGATTCGGACAAGGTTTGAGGGAACAGCGGCCACTCACCTAACTGCCAAAATAGGCAATCATCGTCGAGGTCGTTCTCAACGATGGCTGCGGATGGCGGCAGGCGAGTGGTATCGTTTTGAAGGTAATACATTTAGGTAGAGGCCTGCAAAATGTCTAAGGATTCAAACCGGGTTTGAGGAAACAGCGGCCACTCACATCCCGACAAAATAGGCAATTTTCGCCGAAGTCGTTCTCGGCGATGGTCGCAGGTGGAGACAAGCGGAGAGTATCGTTTTGAAGGTGACACGTGTCGGCAGAGGCCTGTGAAATATCTAAGGATTCGGACAAGGTCTGAGGGAACAGCGGCCACTCACCTAACTGCCAAAATAGGCAATCTTCGTTGGGGTCGTTCTTGACGATGGCCGCAGGTGGTAGCAAGCGAGTAGTATCGTTTTGAAGGTAACACATGTCGGTAGAGGCCTGTAAAAAATCTAAGGATTCGGACCCGGATTGAGGGAACAGTGGCCACATACTTGACAAAAATTTAAAAAAGAGGCTCTTCCAACCTTCACTTGATCGTCAGCTGCCACGGACAGGTGTAAGTTGACCACACATGGGCCCAGTAGGTCCTATAAGCCTGCTCCAGGCAGCCGCTAGCGGGAGGGGACAGGACAACCAGGTGGTGGATGTCTGATGACAAGGGCGGCAGTGCAAAGCTTGAGGCTGTGCAATGACGCACATTGTGGTCGAGGCATTTTTCTCGGCCGTAGTGTACGTCATCAATCAAATCCTTGATTGATTGTTTCCTTTGCCGCCCGATTCCGCTCAGATTGCTTCTGGACTGGCCATATCGGAGTCAGAGCTGTACAAGAACAGTATATAAGTACATGGATGCATCTTCTTCTACACTGATGGCAAAATCCAAGACCCCCCGCCTCTATCCTTGTGTTTGCACTGCTTATGGCTGTAACAAGTCTATTATTGTGATTAATGGCACTCCCCAGCCAGGAAAATGGTTATCCTGGAAAATGCGCAACAGCCATCAAAGATCAGTTCAGCCTAAAGGTCCTGCAACAAAACGAATCCCCAAGAGACGTCAAGCAATGTCCAGAATCAATCTTGTTGATTCTTCAGATGATGAAGGCAGGTTGTAACTGGGTTTATATCTCTTTGCTTAAACAAACATTTTAGAGGAAGATGATGGTGCCCCTGATCCACAGCCTTCTCTAGGGACAGAAGCTGGTGAGAAATTCAAAAAGATGAATTTTTGCTAAAACTTATACTGAATACTATCATTTTTACTAGAAACTAAGGAACCCAACCAGATAATTGTTGAGCTGTGCTCAATGCTTGCTATTTGGCTTCATACCAACAAGAATGTCCCAGCCTCAGTTGTGAATACAACCTTAAAAGGCATCAAATTAATCCTGGAGACTGCTCTAGAAATTTTCAAGTCAACTGTGGCTACACAAGCTCCTGGCCTAACTTTAAATCTGCCTAGCTTTGATTTCCCAGTTGATATCCGTACACTCTATGCTCGCTTTGAACTGGAACCAACTATCAAGCGTACAATTATCTGTCGCAGCTGCTATACTGAATACTCTGGCTCAGCAGAAGAATTACCTGATTTCTGCCCATTCAAGCGGTCTAGCCGGGCTAAGGAATGTGGTGCGGAACTTGTCAAAAAGCGCCGTACTCCTACAGGTCCTAAGCTTGTTGCTCATACAACCTTTAATACCTTAGATTTTGATGAATGGCTCAAATTTTTCCTCTCACAAAGGGTTATTGAAGAACATCTAGCATCTGCGGTGAACCGCCCAGCACCTGAAGATGGGAGTTCAATCAGAGATCTCCAAGATAGCCGTGCTTGGAGAGATATGCAGGACTATCTGACTTCAAAATATAATCTGGTCTTTGGGCTCTACATTGACTGGTTTAACCCCTTGATGAACAAGATAGCTGGTGAGTTACTTTATTATTATTATTATTATTATTATTACTCAAAATATTTGTTTACAGGAAAAGTGATATCCTGTGGAACACTCTGTTTATGCTGTTTGAACTTGCCTCCTGAAATTCGCTACAAACTGCACAATCTCTTCCCAATTGGGCTAGTGCCATCTCCTTCCAAGCCAGATTCCACCACCTTGCCCCACATAACAGATCCAATTGTCAAGAAAATTCTAGAATATGAACCACCTGGTAAAGAAATTGCCACATACTTTCATCCAGAAGGGGTACATGTTCAGGCTAGAATTAAGGCACTGATTGCAGATTTACTTGCTTCTAGAGAGGCTAGTGGCTTCTTGTCACATGCAGCCAACTGTTATTGCTGGTTTTGTCTTCTACAAAAATCAGAAAATGCTAGACTTGACTATCAGAACTGGGAATTGCGTAGTGCAGAGAAGGTCTTGGAGCAGGCTAATATCTGGCAAGGAAAAACTACTCTCAAGGCTAAGAATCTGCAGGCAACAGAAACTGGTGTTCGTCACTGTTCCCTCCACCTGCTTCCCTATAGAGATCCAATCAAAGACACAATATTGGGCTTTATGCATAACTGGCTTGAGGGGATTTTAAAGTTCCACCTCCGTACTGTCTGGGGCATTGGCCGTACAAACGAGAAAGATCTGGAACTTCTGAATAAAGTTCAAGATTTAGACTCTACTGAAGAAGAGCCTAACCCTGAAGATCCAGATGATGATATATTGGAAGATCCAGCAAAGTATAAAAATATTAGGCGGGAAAATTCTACAGACTCTGTGGTCTCAAATGCTACTATCCGACCAATTGGTCAAACTATTCATTTTGACCAGGATATTGAAATGGAAGATGCAGAATCAGTCTCTGCAGTTTTAACAGCAGGAGATACAAGTGATAGTGATTCATCATCATCAAGCTCAGATACTGAAGAAGAAGATAGTGATGTAGATGATAACAACTTTAGTGAAGCTGCTGTGTTTGGGAACTGGAAGCTTTCCAAAGCTGCAGTTAACAAGTTTCAGACTTGCATTCAGGAAATAGATATGCCCTCATATGCAACTCGTCTTCCTCACAATCTGGGTGAGAAGAAGCATGGCAAGCTAAAAGCTGCCCAGTATCTAAATTTGTTTACTGTGATCTTGCCTTTGGTTGTTCCAGAAACCCAGCTATCTGAAGATGACAATACCAACCAACATATGCAACAGGGCTTTTATGATCTAGTATCAGCAACCAACATCAATGCCTCCTTCCAGTGTTCTGATGATGATGCTAGTGTGTTTACAGAAAAATTTGTGGCCTATAGGAGATATATTCAGAGCATACATCCAGATGTCAAGGAGCCACCAAATGCCCATTATGCTATGCACATCGAAGATCAACTAAAATGGTGGGGCCCTGGTGCTGGTATTGCTGGTGAAGGCTGGGGAGAAAAGCTGAATGGAGAACTTCAGAAAATACCAACTAATAAGCAAACAGGTAAGTCAATATTTAATTGAACAATATAAGTCTTACTATTTTATAACTGCAGCTGACATGGATTTCACAATGCTTCGTCAAATATCTCGACGGATCCGTTTTATGGCCAAGCTTAACCACTCTGACTTCTCAGATAAGCCAAAACTTGAAGCTCTGGTGAATGTTTTAGAGCCTGACAGTGCAAGATCCAAGATACCAGTTGAACTGACAGACATTGAACTAACCAACTATCTTCAGTCCTGTCATCATCTTGCCCCTGAGATGTATAGGCTTCTTCTATCCTTTTTAAACCGCAACGGTGCTGGTTATCTAGACAATGATCTTCAAAATACAGATCTGGAACATTTTCAGATGATTGTTCCTCCAGTAGCTAGGCACTTGCGCAAATACCGCATCGGAGAAGTTACCTTCAGCTCACATGACTCCCATTACAGCAACAGCCTCATCCAGTTTTGGGACCCTGTAGACCTTGAGGAACATACTGGGGTTATCCAGATGATTCTTGAACTACCTTTACATGGCTTTCTTAGAAGATTTATTGTGATTCAAAGAGATCGTCCTCTTGATGTTACACACACTCCCTATGCACACTCCCCTCATCTACTCTCTACTCTTGTTGCCTTTGAACCAGAGAAAAACCTGGAGATTATTGAGCCTGAACATATTGTGACACATCTGACCTCTTGGACCAGGCCTCCAGGTACATATGGGATTCCAGAAAAATTCCGTGTTGTCTGTTGGGCTCTAAATCGTGGTCGGAAGTATAGGGGAGGGCCAGGACATTGATCAGTAGATATGCAATTACTCATCTCTCAGTATTTGTAGTTCAGATTGTGTATACATATCAATATTATTTATTAGTTGAATTATGTTTTGTTGAGCAGCCACTTTCTCACTTTTGTTTCTTTCATTTCATGTCTTTTATTCAGGTTTTTCTTTCATATTGTTCTTCTTTGTGTCTATTAACTGCATTTACAGTATCCTCTTTGTTTCCCATTCTTTGTTTCTTTCATGAATTATAGAAAGGCCCTTTGTTATAGTCATCCACTGCCATCCAAACTGCCATTGGGTCTGCCATTTGGTCTGCCATTTGGTCTGCCATCAGTCTCCCATTTCCCAACTGCCTTTGACTTTGCACCCAGTGTGAGGGAATCGGTCAGATGGATGAGAATGGACGATTCGCAGAGGAAAATGACCTGGGAGTGAGCAGATTCGAGTCGAGCGAGCAGCTCAGACGCGGAATTGTACTCGTTCTTGAGGGATTCGACCTTTTTTTACGAACCTGCTCACGACGAATCTCGGCCTTGTCTTCGAGTTGGATGCGGGAGTAATGAGCAAGCTTCGAGAGACGCATGGTACTGGGGTTCTCGTCGAAAATGGCTTCAGCCTGATGGAGTTCGTCATGGTTGAGTGTGGAAAACAAGCTTTGGATGCCACATTCGAGGAGTTTTTGGGTTTTCACGCGCATAGCGTCGAGGAACGTTTTGAGATGACCGTTGGTGCGGAGTTCCTCCCACTTGCGAAGTGGGACCACCTGTTAATCCCAATTATCTCTTCTAATTAGAATGGACCACCCATGCGGGTGACCATTCTAATTAGAAGAGATAATATAAAAAGCCCTATGCTGCAATAAAGGGGGCTATAAAACTGCAATATCTCTGGGACCCCAGGCTCTAAGTCAATTCATATGTTATC